CACACACACACACACACACACACATACACACACAAACAAACAAACAAATGCACACCAATTACATACTGAGCCCTAAAACATTTACGGATCTACATACTGTTAAAAAGTTAAAATACAATTAAATCTGAAGAAATAAGTCATTGATACCGAACCAACGACATGACGCTGTCCCGTGCAGATCAAGTCTAGAATCAGATACACCTGTGTACTTGAAATGTACACGCACTGAACATAGCACTCAAATCCTGGTCATAATCAAACCTTCCAATCGCACTTCTAAAAAAGCCTGAATACGGGTAAGTGGGGAACTGTGTCAAATGCTGATTATAGAACTCAGTGTCTGCCCGGGGTGAGGGAAACGGGGAGGGCAGGGTAGGCTATTGATTATAATATTGTATACGCAACCCCCACTCTGTCAGCCGAGTGCCGCTCGCTCGCAGAGGGTAGCGAAACATTGAGCAGGTTTTTAATCCTATTGTCACAAAACTCAGAGATTTTCCTATCCAAACCTGTTGGAAAATTACGAAGAGATTTTCAGTACCGAGTATTTCTTAGGTTGTGCAGATATTCGACCTGACATCGACTTGAAATTCTCTATGTACAAGCTTAAGTAGTAGACCTCTTCCGCTAGCCAACTATCAAGACTGTTGTTTCATTTCATTGTAAACATATCTTTTCGTCCTTTCTCCGTCACAAAAACCTCCATTTTAAGTTTCTTTTTGAGTGCGACTAAATTGCATCGGGCTTAAACATCTATTTATACAAAGCCGCAAATATATATTTACTTATTTTCTGTTTCTTCTGAGACAAAATTGCCCGATTATTTTCAGCTAAACAATGTACCCCCTCCGTTACCCAGCCTGGTTGAGAGGTCTACTACTTCAGTAAACTCTCACACAGATAAACAAAAACATGTTCGAGGTCTGGATTCTGATTCGACCACATACCTCATAGTCGTTACCAAACTAAAAAAAACAGCGCAATTCCCCGTTCCCAGGAAATGCGCTTTATTGAGTAATTCGTTGCACAACAGGATAAAAACCTGCGCA